AAAAAAAAAAAAAAAAAAAAAAAAAAAAAAAAAAAAACCACCAAGTCTTTGGTAGTTTTTCTCTGAATTAAGGGCATGTGTTTGGACACTTACTTCCAAACTCTAGGTTTATTACCATGTAAACCAACACTGTAAGGACCTAGGTTTCCCAAGGAGGAGCAGGGGTAAGAAGGTGTGCTAAGGGAATACGGACTACAAGCACCACTGAGGGTTAGAATGCCTTACAATCAGTAAAGACAATGGTTCAAAATGGCTTTCGAATATCGAGACTCAGTGTCTAGAAAGTTCTAGAGTTCATCAGTATTGTAGCATCACAGTCAATAACTCCAACAAGTGGCTGGCACCTATGGTATAAGCCTCAAGGCGAGCGGCGTGAGGAGGCTGACTAAGCCCACACCCGGCTTAGGGAAGGAACCACTGTACCAGGACACAGCAGTGAAGATCAATTCGGATAAAATTTGAAGGCAGTTTTTAAATGTCATGCTTTCTTAGGCTCACTAAAACCTCTATTAAGAGGATTTTTTTTAAAGGTATCTCAACGTCACATTAGATACAATTTTTAAACAGTGTCCATCTCATCAAGTTGGTGAAAGAGTTATACCTCCTACCTAAACTGTGTGTCTTGGGTCAGTCACAGCCCCATAGGCTTGACAGGTACTTGACACAATTAAAATAAATATTTCAAAACAAAAGGGCAAGATAAGACAAACTAAAAATGAGAAACACATGCAATATATTAACTCAAATACGTAAGAATTTAAGTAGAAAGACATAAGCTACCAGAGTTTTGTCAAAAAGGACTTAAGGAAACCATGGATGAATTGAACAGTTCCAAGCCTATTTATAACGTTGAGCAACTGAAGCCGGTGGAGAGTCTACCTCTGTAAGCACGCCTGGCTGACTCGGCAGCCTGTACACTTACATTGTCTGAACCACTGCACAGGCAACTGCATCACTAGTCTTTACTCTGTGATTTAGCAACGGATTAAATAGACCACAGTGGCCAGAAAGAACGCACAACTTCATTGTAATAACACTGTACTTATTCCAACAGGGTGTAACAGCACTTACAGACAGGGATGCATTGGTGTTTGTGGTCTCATGAGGTTTAAAAAAGACAACAGAAGTTATTTTTAATTCATTTCATCTGAGTGTCTGATACTATGTTTAAAGGAAGGAAAATTCTAATCATTAGAGAGAATTAATTTTTTAAAGGACTTAAAAATGATTGCCGTGGTTTCCTGTGACTGTCATAGGACCAGGCTTTTAAATGTATAAACATCCACCCGCTACACAGGAAAAGGACAGTCTGACCCCCTGAAGAACAGTCAGAGCAGAGGGCATTCACCGTATCCCACCATCACTTAATTGTCAGAAAAAGCAAAACTAATCTCAAAATCTGTAAGCTCTGGAGCAAAAGCTAGTAGTAACATTTTTTTTTTTAAATCTGGAAAACACTATTACACTGTGTGATAGCTGAATACAATAGCTAGTGATTAGAACAAGAACACACTGGTTTGTATTTGAAATTAGTCAATCGTGTGTGTGTGTGTGTGTGTGTGTGTGTGTGTGTGTGTGTGTGTGTGTGTATAAGTGCGGTGTGAGTGTGTGTGTGTGTGTGTGTGTGTGTATAAGTGTGTGTGTGTGTGGTGTATAAGTGTGGTGTGTGTGTGTGTGTGTATAAGTGTGTGTGTGTGTAAGTGTGTGTGTGTGTGTGTATAAGTGTGGTGTGTGTGTGTATGTGTGTGTGTGTGTGTGTATAAGTGTGGTGTGTGTGTGTATGTGTGTGTGTGTGTGTGTGTATTATATGTTTGTATGCGCATGGATAGTGGGTACATAGGCAATGTGTGCTTAGGTGTGGAGGCCAGAAATCTCTCTTTTTTGAGACATGACCTCCCACTGAATCAGTAGGGCTTGGATGACTGTCAATGAACCTCAGGAATCTTCCTGTCTTGGCTTTCACAGAGCTGCAACCTGGAACTACAAACGTGTGCCAGCTGCTCATGTGGTTGCTGGGATTTTCAAATCAGGCCCTCTGTTTGCACAGCCCTTCACTAACTGAGTGAGCTCCCGGCCCCGAAAGGTAAAGAACCGTCAGGACTGCACCATGAGTAACGCGACTTCCACCTAGTAAAGGAGGAGATCTAAGCACAGAGCTCTGCCTCAAGTCGTTCATTACTAAAGCAGGAAAAAAATCAACTGAAAATGTGAAACATTATTTCAACCACTCTGTTATCGCCGCGTGTCTGAAACTACATGACCAAGTTCTATTATATTAGCTGTCCCATTCCTACATTTAAGAGTATAAATACTAATACCCCCAAAAGTCGTGTTTATTTATGTTCTTGCATCATAATACTCAACCAAAATGACTTCAATATTGTGCATATGAGTGCTATAGGTGTGAAGGCGTCACCATTTAAAATGAATAGCAAGCATCAGTAGCACCCACGAGAAGACGAACAAACGCTTACAAACGCCTATGATGCTGTTTTCAAATTCTGTCAGATGCACAGCATGGTTAGAGACCTTCAATGGAACTGTGCTGCCGTCTGCAAAACTTACTTTGTAACCTGCGTGTGGGGCTCTCTCCGTGGAGCTGTCTTCGTGGCAGATACGGGGACGGGTGAGGGAGCGGCAACGAAGAGACGTCGTGGGTCTGCAGTTTGTACCAATGGGGTTCATCATTTAACAGAGCCGTTTCCAATTCTATTAAAATCTGCAACCCAAAGACACAGAAACCTGTTTTACCAGTAATTAAGAAATCTCTTCAATAGTCTTACAACTTTCATAATATTATCACAGTAGTGCTGTTACAACAAAGCAAGGACATTTAATGTTTCCAAAATAGTAAGCATGCTTTGATGGTAACTAAACGAGAATTATTTTCCTAGCTTTTTAGTGATTTTATGCTTTAAATAGTGACATTTATTATGTATATCATGACCATCCAGCTAAGAGGATATTAAATTTGCCATGACATAAATATCAATTTTTACTTGTAAAATGTATATGACAACTAATTTTTTCTTTTATTTTCTAACCCCAAAGCATTTTCATTTATAGTTACTAGTATAATAACTTCCTAATAACCAATAAGTGAGAAAAAATTAAAGTATCTATTAACAACCAATCATGCCATGTGATTCATCTTTATTATGAATAGAAAATGACCATCTTTGCCTCCTAGGACAGGGTGCCAAAGCTAAAAAAGGCTAAAATGACTTGTATCTAGGGTAAGATAAGCTTGTTGGTAAAAGAGGTAAAAGGAGTCAAGCTGTCTCCCTTAAACCTTTTTGCTCACTGTACCACACTGATGACAATTCAAAGCAAAACAGCGCACCACCACGCCCTTAATGATGCTCAACTGTTATACGCCATTAGAGATGAAGAGGAGAAGGCAAGAGAGGGTGTTTAGCACGTACCATAGGATCACATGATGGTACAATGTGAATTTTTAATTATAAGAGAAGTCAGTCTGTAGAAATAACTTTGTTTTCCTTCAAATTGCTGAGCAAGTGTGACAGAGTAGACCTGCCGTGTAAACCGGTGAGGTACGGGGCGGGGGGCTGTTTGGTGACAGGTAAATAATCAAAAGCTGAGGCTTCACTTCCTCAGTGTCCCCTGTCCACTTCCACTCTGAGAGGCACTAAGCTACGGAAGTTAACATGTACTGTGCTTACATAATCCTCCTACTAATCCTGAGCTGCACGCTAGCATCATTTACTTGGCTGAAGAGGACATCGAAACAGGGACAGATCACCTTGGGGGACACAGGGCTAGGAAGTGATAGTGCTGGAGATGACCAAGGGCCACTGTCAGAGTTACTGTTCCCAAGAAATGCATGGCCCTTCTCTCCAAATGACTCATAGGTTTGTTACTCTGTGTGTGTCTCTGTGTGTCTGTGTCTGTGTCTCTGTCTGTCTGTCTGTCTGTCTGTCTGTCTGTCTGTCTGTCTCTCTCTCTCTCTCTCTCTT